ATTTTAAAATGTTTGTGTGTGTGTGGTGCTTTTTCAGGAAAAATATAGAACATCATTGCCTGTGTGCACTGTGAATTTTTTTATTTACCGGTAAAGTGGGTACAGACATTTTCTGAATATTTACAGGTATTACTGTGTGAAAACGGCTAATGATCACAAAGACAACCAAGGAAACTCAATCAGTTTCAGAAAATAAAGCTGCTAGAATGGTCCAACCAATCACCTGACCTAAATCCAATATAGATAAGACCTGAAGATCAGAGTTGATAAAAAAGGCTAACAGAAGCGTCAAGTTTTTTAAATTGAACAGCTAAGCAATGAATGTGACTCCATTCTCCACACAAGTGGCACCTTTAAGCTGTCGTTACCAAAAAAGCCTTTTGTGCAAAGAATTATTAAATTTTAGTTCTTCAGTGCTTTCTCCTTGTGTCATTCTATTTTTATTATTTATAACAAATTTGTATTTATTTGTTGATTTTGCGAAAATCTGGGTCAATTTCATGTCAACTGCTTCTTTAGAAATATATATATTTACCTGGAAAAATCATAAAGTGTTCAACACTTATTTTTTCACCCAGTGTATAGTGGAATGAATATATGTTTATTTGTTGTTTTCTTTTAGGTCGTTTCTTCTGACTTTGTTGGAGACACTCACTCTTCAATCTTTGATGCCGGCGCTGGCATCTCCCTCAATGACAACTTTGTCAAGCTCATCTCCTGGTAAGCTCAAACCAAAAATGAATACCTAAAACTAATATAAAAATGTAACTAATGAAATAAGATATTACATTATGCGAATGAATAAAAGATAAGTTTGGTTTTATTCTGTTAACTACTGATCAAAGGCAACTATGCTCAAACAAAAAGTATATAGTTGAATATAATAGAAAGAATTTTGTTTAAAAATAATCAAAATTGTAAACTGCAATGTTGTATTTACAATCGTTTTCTTTTAGATGTAAGGTCTATTTAATGAGTCAGTTTAAATGGTCGTTTTCAGTTGAATCAATTAAATTCAGTGTATTTTATATTTTAGTGTATTAAATGTTTAACATTTATTTGATTATAAATTAATAATAATTATAAATTATACAATATGGTTTCATGACTTTTTATATGTTCATTTTTATATTTCAGACAACAGACTTTAGACCTTATTTTGAACATATAAAATTAATACAATTCATTTTATAAAATGTTATAATAAATACAAGGTTAAGCAAAGGCAATAATACAACTCAATACAAAACAAATTTAACCCATACATGTCCAAAAAGGAAAGGTAAGAAGCAGATGCTTTTTTAATCCTACCCCTTCTCCACACTATACCAATGATAAATAACAGTTCATAACAATATTAATAACAATCCATAACAACAAATAATAATCCACAACAATTATAATCAGGTTTACTTTCAACTTTTATCATATATTTACTAAAATGAACAAAAATATTATTTAAAAAATACAAAACTTTTGTTATTCTTTGTTAACGTATGTTAAATAAAATAAAGTCATTTTACTTAACTCGCGCTGCATTAACTAATGTTAACAAGCACAGCTTTAAATTTTAATAATGCATGAGCAAATGTTGAACTGTTGTTTATTTAATATATGCTGCACAGGTTTTGCAAAGTAAATACATTAGCTTTATTTTATTGTAAAGTGTGAATCATTATTATTATGATTATATTGCCCAGGTGTCATATTTCACACACACACACACACACAAAATCGTGTCAATTCAATTCAGGTTTATATGTATAGCGTTTTTCACAATAATTACTGTTTCAAAGCAACATTACAAAAGGTGCACATTACTGCACCACAATCAAAATCAGTGAAGTTTGGTATTTGTGTATAGCATAGGTCTCTCAAACTCAGTTCCTGGAGGGCCGCAGCTCTGCACAAGTTTTTCTCCAACCCTATCAAACACAGCTGATCCAAATAATCAAGGTGTTCAAAAGAGTCATGGGATCAGCTGTGTTTGATCAGGGTTGGAGCAAAACTGTGCAGAGCTGCAGGCCCTCCAGGAATTGAGTTTGAGACCTATGGTGTATAAGGTGGATCTTATATATATAAACATAGTTAACCTGCAGTTATAGTGTATAAAGTGTAAGTCAGTAGACAAAGTAGACCTCTAATGTTTTTCTTTTTATCTCTCCCTCTTTTTTTCTCCCAGGTATGACAACGAATTTGGCTACAGCCATCGTGTTGCTGACCTGTTAATGTACATGCACTCCAAAGAGTAACTCCGCAGAAAAGCCAGACCATTCCTTCTTTTCAACGCACTCATTTCCTAGCTAAAGCCATCGTGACACACCTTAGCATTCCTGTTCCCACCTACGAGACGCTGCATTCGTCTCTGTAGATGTCTGTGTGTGTGTGTGTTAGTTTCTTTTGACAGTATTTGTGTCAGTGTCACTCCACAGGCATTGCTGTAGTTGTTGCCATTTTGGGTGTAATCACGTTGTGTTGGTGTAAAGAGAATAACCGAATAAAGTTTAATGAGGTATAAAGGCTACTGTAATGCAGTTTAAAAAAGAAACTAATTAAAATGTTTGGAAAAACAAACCCATGTCTGTCATTTTGGGTTTTATTTTCTTGTATTGCATCATGGTATCAAATGTTTTGCACAAATACAGATTCAAGGCTTTTAGGTTATTGACTTGATCAAAATATGTTGCATGTGATATTCCAGTTGCCTACTGTTGTCTTATTGAGAGTTTTGATCTTAATATAAATTAAATGCGTAATTTTTTAACCAAAATGTACTGTATATTAATAAAAATTTAAGTGTATGAATATTGATAGATGAATAAGAAGATGAATATATTTTATTTAAATTATTTGTCCGAAATTGATGTAAGTTGTCATTTGCATGGCTAAGAATTAAGGTAAACTGATGGCATATATGTAAATCATAAATAAAAGTTAAGCAGTCTACAGTGCATCTGGAAAATATTAATAGCCTTTCACTTTCTCCACATTTTTTATGTTAAAGCCTAATTAGAAAATGGATTAAATTATATTATTTTCTCAAAACTATACACACAATACCTCATAATGACAATGTAAAAATGTACAATTTTAAAAAAATAAAATATACCTGAAAAATCACATGGGCATCCATATTCACAGCCTTTGCCGTGAAGCTCCAAATTGAGCTCAGGTACATTCTGTTTCCACTGATCATTCTTAAGATGCTTCAGCAGCTTAATTGGAGATCACCTGTCTATAAAAGGTCCCAGGGTTGATAGTGCATGTCAAAGCACAAACCAAGCAGGAAGTCAAAGGAATTGTCTGAAGATCTCCGAGACAAGATTGTCTCGAGGCACAAGGCTGGGGAAGGTTACAAAAAAATTCCTGCAACTCTGACAGTTCCAATGAGCACAGTGGCCTCCATCATCTGTAAGTGAAAGATGCTTGGAACCACCAGATCTCTTCCTAGAGCTGGCCGGCCATCTAAGCTGAGTGATTGGGGAGAAGGGCCTTAGTCAGAGAGGTGATCAATAACTCGATGATCACTCTGTCTGAGCTCCAGAGTTTTTCTATGGAGAGAGGAGAACCTTACAGAAGGACAACCATCTGTGCAGCAATCCACCAATTAGGCCTGTATGGTAGAGTAGCCAGACAGATCCCCACCTTGAATTTGCCAAAAGGCATCTGAAGGACTCTCAGACCATAAGAAAAAAAAAATCTCTGGTCTGATGAGACTAAAATAGAACTCTTTGGAGTGAATGCCAGGCATTACATTTGGAGAAAACCAGGCACTGCTCATCACCAGGCTAATGCCATCCCTTCAGTAAAGCATGGTGGTGGCAGCATCATGCTGTGGGGATGTTTTTACGCAGCTGGAACTGGAAGACTAGTCAGGATAGAGGGAAAGATGAATGCAGCAATGGTCAAAGACATCCTGAATGAAAACCTGCTTCAGAGTGCTTTTGACCTCAAACTGGGGCAGGACAATGACCCAAAGCCCACAGCCAAAATATCAGTGGAATGGCTTCACAACACCTCAGTGAATGTCCTTGCTTAAGTGGCCCAGCCAGAGCCCAGAGCTAGCTAATTCCTATTAAACATCTCTGGGGAGATCTGAAAATGGCTGTACTACTTCCCATCCGACCTGATAGAGCTTGAGAAGTACTGCAAAGAGGAATAAGCAAACATTCCCAAAGACAAGTGTGCCAAGCTTGTGGCATCATATTTAAAAAGACTTGAGGCTGTAATTGCTGCCAAAGGTGCATTAACAAAGCATTGAGCAAAGGCTGCGAATCCGTCCATGTACTGGACCGAAGCAACTCGCGTTTTCTTAACTATCCATACATCATTTTTAGCATGTAAAAAATTTAGAGATCCATATATAGATAGATCTATAGAATTTGTGTAATGTTACTGTATAGTGAATGGCAGTTGATGTGTAGTGCATTCATTTTACGTTATTATAATGTTGTGATACAGTAGGCTCTGTGACACAAAACATAAAACGACCATGCATTTCCTTTAAGCAAACTCCCAAGGCTACTAAGTGATTCTGGTTTTAAGAAATATTAACACGTTAATAACCTGTTAAAATGTTAAAAACGCAAATTTTAAACATAGGCGGATCACTACAAAAAAAAAACGTATCATACGTCAACATAACCCATAGAATTAAATAGGCGAACATATACGTTTTTTATAATTACCCTTTACCGATATGTTTCCAAATTACTGAAAAGTTAGTGTTTAAGTTACTCGTTTTAATCATGTTGTTCAGCCATATTCACTTATGCTTTAGCAATGCTATGAGATAGTTTCATTAAATAACCGAACGAAGGATAACTACTGTTTTATATTACTACTTCATTACATTCTTGCTTTCCGTTTGATATTCTGTTAACGTTATTTGCATACAATATTGAGGAGAAACGCACCTTTTTGGCGTATTTTGTATTAGAGGCAGTTCTTAAACAGGCGGAACTACTGTAAAAACGAGTGTATACGTTCGGACCTTTATCAGTGATGCACCGGAGGATTATGTGACCCTGCGCCTGTCATTCCAAAATCACAAATTTGTTGGTAAGAAAACAGTCTTTCTGTTTAATTAATCACCGGACTAGGAATGAAAACTGTTTCAAAATTTAATACATATTATAATAGCTTAAAACATTGTTACCGAGCGTTTTTAACGACATGAGCACGCTGTCTGATTCCGATGTAGCTTAGTAACGTTAACATTAAGTATAAGTGGTTTTTACAGTATATCATACATTTAAACAGCTTGACCTTGTATTAAACCAATAAGCTAACAATTTATGTAATAAATATGATTCTAAATATAATGTTAGTGATGTAGATACAATTATAAATTCGTAATGTCGGAAATACATGCTCGTTTGGATTAATATATCTAACGTTAACGTTAATGTTAATTTTCTCCTGTTTTTTCTCCAGAATCAGAAGAATATCACAGTGAAATCTCCACCATGACTCTTTTTCATTTTGGAAACTGTTTTTCTTTGGCATATTTCCCATATTTCATTACATACAAATGCAGTGGATTGTAAGTATATAATGTTTTCTTACTTGACTGGAGTGCATAAAAAATACCCTTAGAATATTGATATTTAAGTATGAATTTGCTATTTAATAGGTTTGTTTTATGCTAAGTCAGTGTACAGTATAATCTTCTTATGCTCTATGCCATATGCCAAACTAATATGTTGGTGAGGATGGTCAGGAAATGTAGCTATTTAATATACAGGGTTTCTGCAGGGTCTTAAAAGGCCTCAAATCTCAAAATCCCAATTGTAGGCCTCAAAAAGTCTTAAATTTACTGAAATATTGTGTTGTAGGTCTTAAATATTTTTATACTGGTCTTAATTTAGCAATCATCTCAATAAAACTTTAAACTTTTTGTTTAATTAGGTAATTTACAACTATTTATCATAATGGTTTAATTATTTTTCTTACAATAACCTTTGTTTAAAAGTTCTCCATGTATTTACTGCCAAGGACACCGACCTGGACAGATTGGTGTGCATAAATTTAGTTTATTACAGTTTTTAAAACTTTTAAAACATGTTTATTTTTATTTTATTTTAAAAGAAAGTTTATGTTGTAAAAAAAAGTGTGGATACAAGTAGAGATTGCTTGTTCTTACACAATATTTAAATTAATTTGCTAAAAAATAAAATTTTAAATATTTAAATGTTTTAATATTAATCTATTATTGTATTAGTCAATGAATTAAGTTATACTTTTTTTGATAGGGAAAATAAAAATCTTTTCCATCTCGACTGTTTGAAAAATTTCTTAGCCTTTAGCCCTTTGTGTCTAAAATTTCATTTATAATGGTCTTAAAAATGTCTTAAATTTAACTGTAAAACCTGCAGAAACCCTGATATACTGTAGGAGGGCTGTACAATATTATCATCGATATCACAATCATTTGCAATAGTCACATCACAGGATCTGTTTATTGTCTATTATAAATCATCATTTGCATATGTTTTTGAGGCGTGTGACTCTATAATGATTTTAAAAACATTCAGGTGTAAGAAATTGTACCGTTTGTAACCTTAATAACACCTCATTTGAGTGTATTAATTTTATAATTCAATTACTATACCTGAATAATGTTAAGCGGCAAATGATTAAGCGGCACTGTTTATTTCAATTTTATCTGTTTTTATTATTGTATTTATAGAGTGTTTATTAGATTATATGCACATGCACTCATCTACAGAATCCTTCTACAGGGTGTCTGTGGGGTCTTAAAGTATTAAAAATTGATAAGTCGATGTAGAAAAATTTAAGCCCCTAAAAAGTATTAAAGTCTTAAATGCTATTTAGCAGGGTATTGAATTTAATATAATGTTTGATTATGCAATGTATGGTTGTATGCTAAAGTTTGCCTGTATTAAATCTGCAAATATCAGGATGCAGTGTAGTTTATGAAATCAATGAAATGCTGCTTTGTTTACTACAGTAACCAATTTAGACACCATTATTTCTGCAGTTCTATAGGCACCAACCTGTTAAGTTAGCTGGATTTAATAGTGTTTTATTCAGAATATGTATAATGTTTTAGTTTTGGATTAGTTTCTGACATTAATATTTAGTGAATATACTATAAGTTAAAATCTCGCCAGTGTTTCCGGTTTAAAAGTGGTTATTGGGTTTTAAAATGAATAGAAAGAGACTTAAAAGGTATTGCATTTCACTCTCTCATTCCTGTATATACTCTGTCTTAATCTAAATGATCCATTCTTTCCAAATAGAGATATTAAAGTGTTGAATTTGTATTCATATCACAGCATATGTTGCAGAATATCGCAATGTTGCATTTTTCTAATATTGTGCAGCCCTTTCTACTTGGTACACGTTTGCAAATGTAGTTTTCATTGTGATTTCTTTGTTAAACTATATAATAATGTAACATTTTTCTACTGTTAATTGTAAGGCCTGCAGAGATCTAATTGGTTTGTTAAGCTCTGATCATTGTTCTTATATTAACACTTTTTTTGTCAGATCTGAATATAATGCATTTTGGAGATGTGTCCAAGCAGGTGCTACATACCTCTTTGTGCAGCTGTGCAAGGTGAGTAAAACCTTTGGTCCTCAGAAATGTATGATGAATCGTATGAGTAGGCATGGGCCAGTGTATGATTCTTGCAGTATGATAACCTTTCATATAAATATCTCGGTTTCACGGTATTGTGATTACTGCTCTAAAATATCATTCATTCATTCATTTTTTCATTCATTAATTTTCTTGTCGGCTTAGTCCCTTTATTAATCCGGGGTCGCCACAGCGGAATGAACCATAAATTTATCCAGCAAGTTTTTTACTGAGCCGAGGTTTGAACCAGCAACCTTCTTGCTGTGAGGCGACTGCACTACCTACTGCGTCACTGCCTTGCCATGCTCTAAAATATTTTCTTTTTAAATGTCTGGGTAAAAAACAACACATTTTCCCCTTTAAACACAAAATATTTTCAGAAACATTTTAAATATTTTGGAGCAGTAAACATGTCAGGCTAAATAATTCAAATGAATCATTGACTTCTGCTGTCTTAATTAGTTTCAAAACACAGATTTCTTTACAATTTAAAAATGGCATCTTTTAGATAAGTTTTCTGCTGGAGATAATTTTGTCCTAAAAAAAAAGGGGAAAAAAAAGGAAATAAAAAACTTGCACACACCTTAGGAATGGTATAGGACAATATATTTCCAGTTTAAAAACCTTGACTTTTCCAAACTACACGACGAGTATCGTCTCATATTATGAGGAGTGCTTTCTCTTACAGATGCTGTTTCTTGCCACATTTTTCCCCACCTGGGAGGGAGGAGCCGGTGTTTATGATTTTGTCGGGGTGAGTTGCTTTTGAGTTAAAATTCATTTTTTACATTGTACTTGTGTTTTTATCAGTCCCTTCAAAATTTTACCAGATATATATATATACAGTTGTCAACATTGAATTGGATCAAAAAAAAAACAAGAATTGGTATTGTTTATTAGTTTTAGGACAACTATGGTAAAAGGTTTAGATGCGCTTCAGATGCGGACTACAATATATTTTTCTCAAAATGTATGGCATTATTTGCTTCAATTTGTGCGTTTTACTGTGAAATATGCACAAAAAATGTTTTTGTTCTCAAGCAAGGTCTTGCGAAAGCATGTAGGTACTGTTTTATGTACAGACAACAATGTTGTCAAAACAGTCCTTCTTGACACAGATACTCGAAATGAAAAAAAAAAGCTGTATTATGCTTCCCAGGATTTGGCGCTCGACAATAAGGACTGCCCAATTGCCCGGGGCCAGCATGCAAGATGCTTGGGACAGTAGACAGAATCGTTACTGGCCTGATTGGGCCAGTGCTGCCTTGTCACTAAAGTTTAATTTGGCTGCGACTGTTTGTCAATTGCGTGCAAATAGGGTCCTTTCACACTTAGACATTTGTTTCGGAACTTGTCTGAAACAAAGTTGGTGTGGTTGGCATATGTGAATCCGTGATCGCGCTCTTATCCGAGCCAAACCAATCAGTCTGAGATTGCTTGAATGCGGTGGTCTCGGCTCAATTCAAACAAACTCTGGAGCAGATCGATTGTGGTGAGAAACTGGCTATATCACAGTGTATAATGGAAGTGTAATAGCCATTTATAAGCATGCTGAAATATTGCTGAGTGCTGTTTATTCGTTAGGAAAATTGACAGAAATGATGATCTGATAACTTTTCCATATTTTAATCTTATAATATTTTGTATTAGGCCTGTTGTTTTGTTTATTTCTGGACTGACACCTCAAAAGAAAGATCAACGTTGATCTGCTTCATGATCTGACTGGAGTCTCGGTTCATCTGTTATTTCTCTCTATAATTTAATCCTATAGAATGCATAATTCTAGCCAATGTTATTTTTAATAGATTGGATAATTCAATAGATGGATTTTTTTTAAAAACTTGACAACTGAAATGAGGCTATCTATGAGAAAGTCTTAACTTAAAGTGCATTATATATATATTTATATATATATATAAAAAATTCAAAATTTAATTACATCACAATTGTATTTTCTAAATTGTCAGTTGTATTTAAGAAAAATTATGCCGAATAAATGTGTATGTATACAATTGTGTTTGGCTTTTGCCACATTATTTAAAAATATGCGACTAAGAAATGGCTGTTAACTTCTTCTTTTTTTTGATGGTGTCAGTGAAAATTTTGGCAAGGTAAATAAAAATCTCTGTTTGGGCCAGTAGAAAAAATTAGCGTTAAACATTGCAGGATTATAGTTGATATCAGTTTTTTAAAGAAGCACTACACACTTGTAGGCTACTATTGTCTTGCTTGTGAAGTACTTGCACAAATATAAACCAAATGCATAATATGCATAACGTATATTCACAAAATACAATTTCAACATTCTACATTACGACAATAAGTCACTAGCAAAACATGTACTTTGAAATGTTTTCAAAAGTTAGCATTTTTTTCAGGCTTTCAATTCTAAACAGCTAAGAAGTGTAAAACATTTTCCATTTTAATTGAAATGTCACATTTTAGAGAAACGACTGCTTTTAACTCATTCTTAAACTTTTCATTATACATTTTCCCACAGACTCTTGTTAGTATAAATAAGTTTGGGCTGAAAAATTACAAAGCTTTTCTCTGTCTGGTCACAAATTATTATAGTTTTGCTCAGAGTACAAACAATCAAGAATATTAATGTATGTAGTGATACAGCAGACTTATTAAATGATATTTTTTCTGTCATGTTAACCCACAGGAGTTCATGAAGGCCACAGTAGACATGGCTGATCTTCTAGGTCTTCATCTGGTCATGTCCAGGAATGCTGGGAAGGGTGAATATAAGATCATGGTGGCAGCGATGGGCTGGGCCACAGCTGAGCTCATCATGTCCAGGTATTATTTTTTCCATCAGTAAGCAGTGGTGAAAAGTAACCAATTATTTTAATCTATAATATTTTAAGAATCTTACTTTACCAAGTAGTTTAAAAATTTTTACTTTTGCTTTTACTTAAGTACATTTTTTTATGTTGTATTGTTACTTTTACTGCATTATTTTATTTCAACCTACAATTACTACTTTAAATGTTTATCTTTTATTGTCTATGATGATTGGTTAAGAAGAATAATCAGTCCTGTGATTCCCATCCAGTCAAATTGGATATAGAAAAAAAAATAAAAATCTAAATCAGAGTCAAAAAAAAAAGTTTTAGAACTCAAGATGCTTTATAAACAAAAATCATTACACGCATCAGCTGAGAGACCATCAATACTTCATGATGAGAAGATTAAAGACGCCTACTAAATGATGACTGAAATGGCCAAGTGACCTTAAATATTCAATAAATTCACTAGACTTTAATATTTTCAATACATGCCCAAATTGCATGTATTTTATCAGTGTTGCTGAATGAGCTTGGTTCTCAGCGCCATCTGCTGGACACTCATAGCTTGTTAGCCAAGGTTCAAATTTTATAAGGGTTTATGAGCATTTAATATGTCGCCACAGCTATATTTTTGCCCCTTATGTTACAGTGATTTGGCTCTGCCAAAAAAAAAAAAGATCTATGCATCAACTTGCTTTCTATTGGCTCGTTATAGGTTTGTAAATTAATGCAATCTTACATTTTAAGGCTGCATTTACACTGCAGATCTTGATGGTCAATTCCGATTTTGTGACTGTATCTAATTTTTTTGCTGGCCTGCTTACATCATCTTATAAAAGTGACTCGGATCTGATTGTCTGCATTTAAACTGCATACGGCAAAGGCGCAATGAGCAGGAAAAATAGAGCGTGCCCTGGCTGACAGCTTATAATAAAAGATTGCTCTTTTCTCTATTCCTGTATTTAATCTGTTCACAGGGTTTATTTTATTTCATTTGTTTATTTATTTATTTTTACAGGTTGTTTTGCTATAGTTTATGGCAGAAAAGTTCTCATTTAGCCATCTTCTCATAATCTAGGTCTTTTTAAACCAGTAGGCAATTTAATGTACTGTCCATGATATGATTTGTGCCCGTGACGTATGCCACAGTTTTATATTAGTTTGTTTCGGTTGCATGGTGGATATTGTGCTCTCTCTCGTTAAACTTGCTTAGATACTTGTGCTACATGACAATATAAAAGCTTTTTTAGTCTTCGTGTATGAGATTTAAGGTTTGGGACTCAGCTGAAGTCTGTCCTGAAATGCAAGCATCAGAGTTGACGTCATTCGCTCAGGTTTTTAGTGACGTGCGACTCGCATTGATAGGTGACAATCCTGTCTGCTTACACTGCAAACAAAAGGGCACCGATCCGATTCAAATTGGATAAATTAGCACATATGAGCAAGGCCTGAATCTGATTTGAGTAAATCAGAATCTGTGTGAATCTTTCCTGCTTACATGTACATGAGCCTTATCCGATCTGTGCCACGTGAGAGGAAAAAATTGGAATTGAGTCACTTGAACCATGCAGTGTAAATGCAGCTTAAATGTATTTGCTATTTATGGTCTATAAATTTGAAATGAGATTGATGCATTTATACACAGAAACACTAAAACAACATGGCACTGATGTAAGCTACAATTTTTGATTTACAGGATATAAGGTGGAGTAATTTTCACAGCACAATACTCACCACTCTTAAGTACTTAAAGCAGGGGTCACCAAACTTGTTCCTGGAGGGCCGGTGTCCTGCAGATTTTAGCTCCAACCCTAATCAAACACACTTGAACAAGCCAATCAAGGTCTTTTTAGTTATACTTGAAACATCCAGGCAGGTGCGTTGAGGCAAGTTGTAGCTAAACCCTGCAAGGACACCGGCCCTCCAGGACTGAGATTGATGACTACTGGCTTAAAGAGTAGTATTTAAAACAAATACTTTTACTCACACTACATTTTTTTGGCAAGTAATGGTACTTTCACTTAATGTAATGATTTTTCAGATAACCAATAGAAATTAAATCATTTAATTACTCTAATCACTTTTGTTTTGGTGTTTGTAGTCCAAATGTGATTTATTGATGCGTATAGTACAGTAAGAATGTTTTGTCTGCTTTGTTGGTAACAGATGTATACCATTATGGGTCGGAGCTCGCGGCATTGAGTTTGACTGGAAATACATCCAAATGAGCTTCGATTCCAACATCAGTCTGGTAAGTTACTTTGTGCTTTAGCTTTTCTGTTTTTCTCTACATAAATAACATGCTAGTATTAGTTAGTTATTGTTTTTTCCTATTACTTTTTACTTTTTGTACTTGAACTTTTTTTTTTTTTCATATCAGGTACATTATATTGCGATGGCAGCAGTAGTGTGGATGTTCACTCGATATGACCTTCCCAAAAGTTTCCGCCTCCCTGTTGCCATCCTGCTGGGACTGTGCGTTTACAAGGGCTTTCTCATGGAGTGAGTATCACAGTTCTTCGTATTCATCTTTTATCTACATTCAGGATTCATTTTCCTTCATGTTTGGATATATATTTTTCGAATATTAACGTTATTCTTAATGAGCGGGCACAGCCATTGGAGTCTTTTTGACTCAATACTTCTGCTCTTTTTCACTTCTATTGTATTTTAGCCGTTGGAAACAGCTTGTTATGTTGCAAACTGGTATTTTTTTATTATATTGTTCTGCTTTTTATGTATTGTCATGAACATACTTGTTTGTAGAGCAAATAATTTGACCATTTTTGGCAAAATTTTTGTAATGTTCAGTGTAGGGTATCTTCGAGCGAACAATATTGTTATAATTTTTCTTTTTTTTTTCTCCATAATATTTTTATTTTTAATTTTAGTTTGTACACATTGAAATACAACATTCAATAATAACCTTGTTGCATTTACAAATTCTACAAAATATGAGTATATATATATATATATATATATATATATATATATATATATTTATAATAAAAACTAAAAGCAAACAAACAAACAAACAAACAAAAAAAAAGTAAATAAAAAAAGTAAAACCGCTCTTTTTTTTTTTTTTTTTTTTATCATGTAAACAGATTTACAATATATCCGGAAAGTATTGATAGCGCTTCACTTTTTCCACATTTTTTTATTTTAGGTTCTACACACATTTAATAAATAATAAATAAATAAATCACATGTACATAAGTATTCACCCAATACTTTGTTGATGCACCTTCGGCAGCAATTACAACCCCAAGTCTGTTTGAATATGATGCCACAAGCTTGGCACACCTGTCTCTGGGAATTTTCAGATCTCTCCAGATATGTTCAATTGGATTTAGGTCTGGGCCACTCAAGGACATTCATCAAATTGTTGTGAAGCCACTCCATTAATATTTTGGTAGTGTGTTTTGGGTCATTGTACTGCTGGAAGATGAACTGTCATCCCAGTCTGAGGTCAAGAGCACTCAGAAGCAGGTTTTCGTTCAGGATGTCTCTGTACATTACTGCATTCATCTTTCCCTCTATCCTAATGTAATGTAGCTAAGCTCAATTTGGAGTTTCACGGCAAAGGCTGTGAATGCTGATGCACATGTGATTTTTCAGCTTTTTTATTTTTTATACATTTGCAACAATTTCCCCACAAAAATTCACATTGTCATCATGGGGTACTGTGTCAAATTTTGAGGAAATAAATGAATTGAATGCTTTTTGGAATAAGGCTGTAACATTTAAAAATGTGCAAAAAGTGAAGCACTATGAAAACTTTTCGGATGCACTGTATATTTGTAAATATGAAACCACATACTTATTGTGACCTTTGGTTATTAAAATGAACAGAAAGAAGAAGTGATGATACTAAATTAAGTCTTTTTAAAAGACAGAACAGTCAAATGAGTACAACCTGGTATTTTGAAAGATACTGGCAAATTAAAAGACTTTTTGATTCAGTAGAATTAAATTTGCATGTAATAAATCCACTATTACTATTATTATTAATGGTGTATTTTAGTTTATTCAGAGCTGATGTGTCTAATTCATGTCCTAAACATGCCTGACAATATTATTTGCGGTGGCGCAGTAGGTAGTGCTGTCGCCTCACAGCAAGAAGGTCAGTGTTTCAAGCCTCGTTTTGGGTCAGTTGGCGTTTCTGTGTGGAGTTTGCATGTTCTCCCTGCATTCGCATGGCTTTCCTCTGGGTGCTCCGGTTTCCCCTACAGTCTAAAGACATGCAGTATAGGTGAATTTGGTTGGCTCAATTGCCTGTAGTGTATGAGTGTGTATGGATGTTTCCCAGAGATGAGTTGCTGCTGGAAGAGCATCTGCTGCGTGAAACATGTGCTGGATAAGTTGGCGATTCATTCCACTGTGGCGACCCCAGATTAATAAAGGGACTTAGCTGAAAAGAGAATAATTGAATGAATGAATGAATATTATTTGGTCTGTAAATTATAATTATTCTGACATATTACTGGGTGTCCTCTATAAGTCACAGTAAAAATGTATGATAATTATATTTTTTATTTATTTATTTTTTGCTAAAAAAAATGAACCAGAGCATATTCTAATAATGATAATTGTCTTAACCAGTGCATTCATCCATTCGTCCTCTAGAGGGTAGCATTGCCATAAATTAGATTTTATTTTTTTTTAGTTATTGACTGTGTTTGGAATTAAATGCTGGTGGTGGCCTATAAACCTTTGCATTGTGTTGCATAGCTGATATGTAAGAACAAGTAGAGCAACATAGTATGTAAATATCACATCCTTTTGATTTTCACTTTAAAAATCTCCCAAGTTTTTCTAATAAAAGTCAGTCTACAGGCTTTCATACATGCACTACATAGGATGTCAGAGAAGGTCTTTATTTGAAGTGTCATTAGGCTGTTCACATGTTGGCAATAAAAAGTGAATCAATTCAGCTTTAATTCTATTGTACTTTACAAACCGCTCATTATACTACTTGCTGATTTTCATGTGGCTCATTAGTTTGCTCATTCAATTCAAATTAATGAGAGATCTTACATAATTGCAGAAATACTGAGCTCTTGTGCTTTTGTCGTCAGTATGTGAGATGTCTTCAGAGAGCAGTCGTGTCCTGCTGTTTTAGTGTCTCCTGAGCTGAAGTACTTTTACAAATTAGTGTTCATGTCTTTTTTATTTCATGTTTAATATCAAGTATGAAATCAAGCCTCCATCTCCTTTAAGCCTTTGCTGCAAGTTTTATCATATAGACTCATGTGAATGGGTCTTTTCCATAGGCTTGTATGTAAAGCTTGAAAATATTGTTTAAAAAAAGGGCAAATTCCGTTTTGGCAATAGTATGAATAATTATTCGGTGACATGAATTAAAAACTGTACATATTTCTCTTTGTTAGTGCACATTTGTAGTCATGCGATAAATGATTAAACTGCAAAAAAGTTTACACATTAAAAAAACTCTGTAATGAAAATCTGATTTGGATTTTTTTCAATATATGACTTGTATCTTGTAGTTTCTTTAGTACTTTGTAAATTTACCCCTTGTGTACTGTTCAAATTCACTACCCTTTTGTTATGTTAGTGGCTGTTTTGGCCCCATTGACATCCTTTATAATGCAAAGCCATGACACCAAATGATCAAGTATTATTTATTGTTGGTGGTTTTTCCCTGTTGGGTTGAGGCAACATTTGTCAATTTTACTGTTGATAATCAGTTGGCACTCTTTTGATCAAGTAGGTGTCACTGCAGCCTGGAGACCTCCAAGTGGGAGGGATTACACTGTAAGTAGGTTGCTGAGTGACCTCTAAGTGGGAGGGACTTCAACCACAAGTATGTTGGGTTATGGTGGTGTGATGGAGCAGATATTAATAAAACACCAGGTTACTGTGAAGTTGGGGTAGATGTAGCCGTTAAGAAAACACAGCAGGTTACTGTGAGGTTGGGTATAGGGTTGGGGTGTAGACATTCATAAAACACAATATTGGACTCTGTGTCATGTACAAGACATTAAATAAATAAAAACTTAAGGTTTGTGCAGCCCACTTGGTGCTCGAAGGCCCACCCACTTGGAGCTCAAGTCCCACCCTTTTGAAGCTGGGTCCAAGCTCCATTTATACACTTCTTTTGAATGGTCGGTGCAAAAAGGGGTATAACAGCAAATTATAGTATGCATGCATAAATACACTTACTATGTTCTGAGATCTGATGTGCTTATTTTGATTTTGTCAGACGCTATATCCCATATAACTCCACATAAAAGCCAGAAACTAAGCTGTTTTTTTTTTTTTTGCACTGCAACTGATTATCAACAGTATTAATTAAAAATTCAACTTCTTCCAAGTGGAAAAAACACCAATAATAAAGCATAATTATATGGTGTCAAGGCTTTGCAATCAAAAATTTGTGTTATAATGGAAGTCAGTGGGGAAAAATCTGCCACTAACATAACAAAAGAGTTGTCAATTTGCTCAGTGTGTGTTGTTGAGTTTAGTTGAAAATTTTCAAAGCATTTTCCCAAAATATGTATCAAAAATATAGGTTTTGTCACCAAAAACTTTCCACTTGCTGAATTTCTAAGAAAGTTGTAGCCAAATTAAGATTCAAAATCACCCCAGAATGGATGAAAACATCCCAAACAGCATACAAGGTGGTGTGTAATGTGTCTCTTAACAACATTTTAATATTTTCATTTTCAAATTAACTATGTATAAAATAGTTAATGCCATGTGCATTGTAATCTACTTTATATTCAGTCGTGCACAGAAAGGATTAAACACAGTGACATAACCACTCAGTGAATACACTCATTTTAACTGCATATCAGAGTGACTGGCAGAAACAGAAACATCATCTGTTGTCTTGTAATAAAAACGGTTTCCTGCTTAATAATGACGGATTGTGACCTATATATGATTATATGTGAATTAACCTTGACCTTTTTTGTGTTCATTTTTGTGCCAGTTTAAATTAGAAAAAGAGTAATACGGGTGTTGGTCATAAAATTAGAATATCTTCAGAGAGTTGTTCAAAGATACTGAAAACCTTTCTCCATAAATAGACATTGGCTAGACAGTATAAAATAATTGCTATTTAACAGGAGGGCTAATATTCTCTCTTCTACTGTGTATATAGTAATAATAAAACAATAGTAGCTACAATAAATCATATTGTTTGACTAACATAGTAGGCTTATATACGAAACTCAAAGCAGCATTCCTCTGTATTGAAAAGACATACCATTTGAGAACTGAGTGAACCAATTAGACCTACATATCGTTCTGATTACACACCTGTTATGAGCACAAAATGTTACTGTTTGCAGTTTTCTGCTCAAATGTAAACCACTTCCTCCAGTCCACGTTTTGTTTCCATTTATAATTTATAATTTAACAGATTTACTGGTGCTAAAATTAGATTATCTTCAAAAAGTTGTTTATTTCACTAATTCTATTCAAGAAGTAAAACTTGTTTAACGTGTATGTTTTAAGTATTAATTTCTTTTCAT